TTCTATTTACCTATTTTTCATTTATCTATTTAAATGAATAACTGGTGAAGAAGACTGTGACTGAGAATTGTTTTTCAAAACAGGGCTATTTTCAACTCTTACTTTTAATGCTTATCAATCAACATCATCTTACACTTGCGGAAATCTGTTTTTCTCTTTCTGTAATCTAAAATGTCTTTTTGCATCACTCTTATGTATCAATTTTACAAGTATACAGCCAGCTTAAATTGACCAAATATCTATTTTATTGTGCTAGATATTTATGCAGAGTCTGGCTCTTGACAACCAAGGCAAACATGTATTTTTTTTTACAAATCCAATGGTCAAGTTGTAAAATTAGTAATCCATGAATTCATCATATGTAGGTCTATTTTATTATAATTATCACAAAAATAGTTGATCCTTGAACAACATGGGTTTGAACTGTGCAGGCCCACTCATACATGGATTTTCTTTCGCCTTTGCCACCCGCGAGACAGCAAGACCAACTTCTCCTCTTGCTCCTTCTTCCCAGCCCACTCAACATTAAGATGATAAAGATGATTATGAAGGTGATCTTAATGTGTCCCTTCAAATTCATGTGTTGGAAACTTGATCCCCAGTGTGGCAGTGTTGGGAGGTGAGACTTGGGTGTTTCTTAGGTTATGAGTGCATCACCTTCATAAATGGAATAATGCTGTTATAAAAAAATTCAGGAGTGGGTTCTTGCTCTCTTCTGAAATGTCAAGACAAAGAATTTGTCTTTCTCTTCCTCGTCTGCCTTCCACCATCTGAGGATGCAATAAGACGACCCATATCAAGTGTTGGCACTTTGATCTTGGTCTTCCTAGCTTCCGGGGCTGTGAGGGAATACATTTTGGTTGTTTATAAATTACCCAGTCTTAATTATTTTGTTATAGCAGCAAAAAATGAACTAAGACAATGTAGTAGTTCATTTAAGGATAGCTAATACATATATTTTTAAGTAAGAATAATTCGAGAAGAGTGGGGATTTATTACAAGAATTAAAACACTGCACTTTCACTACATTTATATGGAATATTAAGTATTTGAGCTAGTTTTGACCTTTATGCAAGGCAACATGGTATGACAGATAGAAGTTAGGATGGCCATCAGAGGATATGAAACATGGTCCTATTTCTGCCAATTATTAACTACTTGAGTTGAGGCTGAGAATTTTTTCTCATTTGACAATAAAAACTACCAATTAGTAAAAGCTTAAAGTGTGCCAGAAATATTTCTAAGTGCCTTACAGGGCTTTTGTCATTTAATGCTCATTGTTAGTATAGTGTCATAAAAAACAAAGGTTTAAGGAGTTATGCAACTTTCTCCAGAGAATGACATCCGGAAGATAAAGTCTATTTTATTTGCCTCCAAGGCCTGTGTAATTAACCACTGTAAAGAATGCTTAACAAAATGTATGAAATGAGAAAAATAAATATCAGACACTGTTTTTCTGTTTAAATTCACAATACATAATATAAATTTTAGAGGGCAAGTATACAGGTTCATATTATTACTTTTGAACAAAGGAAACTTAGAGGATTAATCAGTAATAACAAACCCTTCCAAAACTTAGTAGCTTAACTATAGTCTTTCATTTAGCTCATGATTCTGTGGGTCAGTGCATTTGGACTTAATTCAGCTGGACAATTTTAGACAGATATATCAGAGGAAGGAAGACAGTTTCGTACTTTTGGAAACCAGCTGGCTATCCTATGGGGGCAGAAATGAAAAGTTTAGCTGTTTTGAGAGACAATTTATTTGTTTTAGGGATCATCTTCTATTATGTTGTCTGAATTGGTTCCTAATACTATTTCTTTTGTACTGAAGGTGTGTGTGTGTGCATACATGACTGGCATAGATGTCTCTCATCATGATGTCAACTAGTTAAGACTTATTTTCATAGTATCAGGATAGAGTTCCAAGAAAGAGAGAAAAAGGGAGAGAAAGAGAGAGTAAGAGTGTAGGAATATACCAGACCATTTGAAGCCTGGGTTAGGAACTGGTACATAATCACTTTCACTCTGTTCTATTGGCCAAAGTAAGTCACAAAGCCAGCCCAGATTCAAGAGCTGGAGAAACAGACTTGATGGGAGAAGTTGCAAAGTTACATCATAAAGGGTCAATCCTGTAGGGAGCAATAAGAAATTGTGACCATTCTTTAATCTACTGCAGAAGAATTTTGTTTATGGATATATTACTTTTTGAGAGTGAACAATAATTTTAAAATCCTCACATTAGACTTTAGAAGAATTAAGTTGTTCAAATGCTAAACTTTTGCAAGTATGTCATTCTGACAGTCACAGTGTGGCTTCATGAGATCAATCCACGTTTCTGATGGTGACGTAGTGCTTAGTTTCTGTAGCCTTTCTGTGATGCTGACTCAAGAATTATAAAGGAAGCAGCATTTTAGTTGCTTCCCTTCAAGGGGTAATGTCCATACAGTTTTCTAAATCCTTGCTCCACACAGACCACAAAGGAAACCACAAATGCTTTTCCCCCTCAGTTTTCCATTGCCATATTTCAAAGCTTTGCTTTCTTTTCACTTTTATCTGAGTTTTACAGCAGGATCAGTGAGGTTCGTTGGCTGGAGGGGTTTTCTGTTCTCTCCTGTCTTATATAACGAAGCCTGGATATTTGTCTTAGGATCTTCCCCTGTTCTATTAACCAGAAAAAAAAAAGAGACTGTATTTTATTCATTGCTTTGTGTATCAATTCTCCATTGACATGCCCATCTCATCCTTTTATCTTCCCACATTCTTATTTTCAAACTTATCTGACATGTTCTCTAATTTCACATATACTCCTTTTTTGAATCACAAGAAAGTCTTGAGTTCTTCTAAAAGACGATCCTCCTGTCAATGTGATTATTTCTAGATAGCTTATATAATATAACCTTACACTCAAATTGATTCATTAGATCTTTGTCTTTCCATTTTTCTCCCCATGGGTACTTTGCATTATCTTTATCTATATCTATATCTATATCTATATCTATATCTATATCTATATCTATCTATCTATATATATATATATAATACCAAAAAAAAAACAGGGGAAAGCGCAAATACAATCCCCCACTACCATAAATTATGCAGTTGAGTTTCCCATATTTGGGGAAATCGCAGGGGTCAGCACATCTGGAGTGCAATGGATAAGCCTCGCCCTGGGAAAACCATCTTCGTGATCATGATATCTCCCCTGCCAGGTAAGTATGAGTTATCTTTTTATAGTCTTACAATTTCACGCATTTTTGCCACTTAAATTAAAAGGGGGTAATTTATGTGAAGTGTGTTACACATAGTATGATCTAAGTAAATATCTATTATTAAAAATGCCTCTGTTACTATTACAGTTGTTAATTTATTCTAAAGCAAACCACACTCCCCCTTTTCCCTACTGAATTTACATTAGGCAATATAAGACACCATCTAGACAATGGAAGAATGACGGTTAGAAGGTGAATAGACTCTTTCTTTGTAATTTTTTTGGCAATTGAAATTTACTATCATTGTTATTTTTAGAAATACCTCAGTGATTGATAATTGTACAAAACTAAAATCATTTTCTTTACATTCAAGCCTTATGTATTTTGTATGTGTTAGTAACTTAAATGCTGGGTCCATATAGCTGTTATTTACATTGTCTTTATACATTTACTGTCAGATTGTCAGTATTTTAAAAAATAAATGTATATATTAATACTTATATATTTGCATTTATTTTGTAGGCATCAATGACCTTCCAAAGAACTTTTAGTTCTCTACTTTGTTTACCTATATAACGTGTCATAACAGACAGGTGTTTTATTTGGTGATTTCACATTTTACTACCTGTTTTACCACCACCTATATTGCTAAAATAACTCATAAGTCTTGCTCTTTCTAAACCATAGTATCGATATTAATACCTATTTATCAAAGAGATCTTCTTCCATAGAGGACCTGGTGTTTTCCCTACTGGGTGGACTTCAGTCCTAACAAACTATGCCTGTAGAATAGTTTCTGCCTTCCTTCCTTGTCTGTCTCTTTCTTTCTTTCTTTCTTTCCTTTCTTTCTTTCTTCTTTCTCTCTTTCTTTCTTTCTTTTTTTCTTTCTTTCTTGGAAAGTGCACACAGATACACACATGCACACACACACACACACATATGATCTGATTGGTGATGAGGCCTGTTATAGGTTGAATAGCGCCCCCTCTCCTAATAAAAGTTATATTGGAGTTTTAACCTTCAGTACCTCAGAATGTAACCTTATACGGAGATAGAGTCTTTATAGAGATAGTCAAGTTAAAAAGGAGTCATTTAGGGTAGGCACTAATCTAACAGATGTTCTTATAGAAAGAGAACTTTTGGACACAGCAGCAGATATGCATGGAGGGAAAAGAATCGGAAGAGACACAGGGAGAAGATGGCCATCTACAAGCCAAGGAGGGAGGCCTGGAACAGATACTTTCTCCACAATCCTCAGAAGTCAACCCTAGCAACACCTTAATTTTGTATTTGCAACTGGAAGAACCATGAGACAATACATTTCTGCTGTTTAAGCCCCACAGTTTGCGATACTTTCTTATGGCAGCTCTAGCAAACTAATACAAGGGGCAATGAAAACTTGAGACAGGGTGGAATTGGCTTATTAGATAATTACTTAGATAACTTGGGTATCTGTGGCTCTTCTCTTCAGGTTCAGACCAAAACAAAAAACAAAAACAAAAAACTGGATCTTTTACTTTGTAAAGCATTATCAGCCTGGGATAAACTTCTGAAACTTGATTTGCTTTAGATAACTATAGTGTGGTGGCTGGAGACCTACGTTTGATTTGAAAAAGCAAGGCAAGCTATGCATAAGACCTAAGAAAGAATATTCACTGTCACCTGTAAATAGACCACTCTCTCCGGTCAGCTGTCAGTGAGAAAAAATAATGCAATTGGTCTTAGATTCTCTCACTTGTTGGAAGGGGTGGGGCATGGTGAGGGGTGGGGGAAGAGAGAGGGTGTGGAGAGTGGGGTGTAAATAACGCAGGCAGAAGCTCCAGAGAGGGTGGAGACAGAGCTTCACGGAAGAAAAATATGTGAACCTGGTTGGTACAACAGAGCTTCTCCAGACCCACCCACCCACCCCTTCCTGAGCTCTGTGCCTCGGGTGGCGGCGGGAGGTTGACGGCTAGTGGTGCTGAAGGGACAGCTCCAGCAGTGGCTGATTTCGGGGGAGAAACGAAACCTGCAGATGGAATCCGAGCAGGGCGACTTCACCTTCAAGTGGTGAGCTCTCCTGACCTCCGGCCAGTCTCCGCTCCATTCACTGGCAGCCGATCTGCCCGCTCCCGGTGGGGTCGGGCAGTGCCGGCTGGACCCGCCCCGAGCTCCATGGTTTGCCCAACCCTGCGCGATGGTGACTCTGGGCGCGGAGGTTGGCAACTGGCAAATCCGCAGATCACAGAATGAAGGCGGGGAGCGCGGCTGGCGGCCGGCGGGGGCTGTCTCCCCCACCCCAGCGCCCAGAGAAGCTGCTCAACCACCTGAATCCGGAAAACGCCAACAAGTAGTTTCTCTTTGGAGAAGGGCGGCTCAGCTGGGCGCCAAGACTCAGTCCCGCTGCCCAGAGAACCTCATCCACTCGGAAACCAAAGCAGAACCACTTTTCTCTGGGTCTCGTTAAGGTATCTGGAAATGGGGGTGAGGGTGGTGAAAGGGGCGAATTCCTGGAAAGGGCATGTTGACTCTGCAGGCAGGCATCCCCCAGCCTCCTTTCCGCAATAGGAATGTGGAGATGAAGCCCTGGGGAGAGGTGGCTGGGAGGCTGGAAACAGGGACACTGTCAGCTCAGGGACCCAGGGGGTGTGCCTCCAAGCAGCTTTTCCCGGAGCCTCGCCCCTTCTAGAAAGCAACCCCCCCACCCTCCACCCCCTAAAGGATTTGTTTTTCTTGTGATGGGGGATGGGTGGCATGCATTGATCACTTCTGTTCTTAAAGATGGATCCTAATTAGTCGTTTTCTTTCCCAAGAAATAAGAATATCAACAACAACAACAACAATAATAATGTGAAAAGGAAATTGGATGAGGAAATAAGTCAGAGGTCTCCTAGGTGAAAAGCAACAGCAGAGATTTTTTTTTTTTAATCTGACTTCTGCGTTGTCTTTTTGCATGGTGTGTGAGCAAGTGTAGAGGTGAATCTAGAACAGGTTGCGCAGAGGGCACTGCCTGAGCGTTAGGGAGTAGGGAGGGGCCCGGGGTTGATCTAGGGTGGGTGTGGAATCGGGGCTCTTCGCTGGGCGGGGGAGGGTGTACTCTCACCCAACACTGCCAAGTTGCCTAAAAAAAAAAAAGAAAGAAAGAAAAGAAAAGAAAAAAGGAAAGAAAGAAAAAAAAACCTCCCTGCCTAAGGGAATTGCATCCAGGCTAGGGGAAGGGGAGAAAGAGGAGGGTCTTGAAGAGTGGGAGTGAGAGGCCAACCGGGGGAGGAGGAGAGAATAGGGCAAAGGAGAGGGAGAAAGTCGGCTTAGAAGAAGATAGAGGGGTGTTGGGGAGGCAAAGAAGGCGTTAGGGGCTGGGAGCAGCTTGGACTTGGGAGGGAACAGAAAGGAGGAAAAGTGGAAGGTGAAAAGATGAAGGAGAAGGGATCAGAGCCTTAAAAAAGAAAGGCGTGAGGCAGGGGAAACTGTGTCATGAAAGGTCAAGAAAGACTTGGACTGCTAGCTCTGTAGTTCTCTGGAAACCTGGGAAAGGTGTGATGCAAGAGGCGGGGACAGCGCTGGACGCTGATTCCCTCCAGGGAGGGTCCTCTGCCCCACTCCTGCCTGCCAACCCTGCATCCCGGGACTCGCTCTGGGTTGGTGGTGGGGGTCATGGCGTGTTGTTGACGGCCCAGATCTTTAACTCGGCGCTGTGTTCGCCTTCCCCCAGTCATGTCTGAGTCACAGAGATGGGCAAGATCGAGAACAACGAGAGGGTGATCCTCAATGTCGGGGGCACCCGGCACGAAACCTACCGCAGCACCCTCAAGACCCTGCCCGGAACACGCCTGGCCCTCCTCGCCTCCTCCGAGCCCCCGGGCGACTGCCCCACCACGGCGGGCGACAAGCTGCAGCCGTCGCCTCCTCCGCTGTCGCCGCCGCCGAGAGCGCCCCCGCTGTCCCCCGGGCCCGGCGGCTGCTTCGAGGGCGGCGCCGGCAACTGCAGCTCCCGCGGCTGCCGGGCCAGCGACCACCCCGGGGGCGGCCGCGAGTTCTTCTTCGACCGGCACCCGGGCGTCTTCGCCTATGTGCTCAACTACTACCGCACGGGCAAGCTGCACTGCCCCGCAGACGTGTGCGGGCCGCTCTTCGAGGAGGAGCTGGCCTTCTGGGGCATCGACGAGACCGACGTGGAGCCCTGCTGCTGGATGACCTACCGGCAGCACCGCGACGCCGAGGAGGCGCTGGACATCTTCGAGACCCCCGACCTCATCGGCGGCGACCCCGGCGACGACGAGGACCTGGCGGCCAAGAGGCTGGGCATCGAGGACGCGGCGGGGCTCGGGGGCCCCGATGGCAAATCCGGCCGCTGGAGGAGGCTGCAGCCCCGCATGTGGGCCCTCTTCGAAGACCCCTACTCGTCCAGAGCCGCCAGGGTAAGGACAGAATCGACCCTTTCCCTGCTGTTTCAGCTTCTTCCAACTCCCTCCCCAACTTTCTGTTCCTTTCCACCCCAGGGCCTGGGGCTGGGGGGCGGGTAGAAGAGACCGGGGCTCCCTAGCGACGCAGTCAGAGGCTCATCTCTTGCACGGTAAACCCAGGGACCCTGGCCACCATCCCCACCCACTCCCATGTTTCTCCTCCTTCCCTTCTCCCAACTCAAACAGATTTACTTTAGCAGATGGGACCTAGAGGGCAAATGCCGACTTCTCTGTGCACGTCTTCTGGACCTTGTCCTGAAACGGGTATGACGATTCATCTCGAGTTTCTCCCTCACTCCTTTGTTCTAACTTTTCCTTTAGCTCAGATCTCTCTTCTGGCCTCCTGGTCATCCATCGCTATTTCACATTTTCAGTGAGGCTCCTTCACATCTGACTCACCCAGAGCAGTGGCTCCAACTAAGGGTTGAATCTGAGGACAGAGGAAGGGGAAATGGAATATAGCTATGTGGCTGGGGAGATGGGGGGGAGGAAACCTTTGCCAGGAGGTTTACTTTGTGAAGAGAATCTCCAGAACGTTGTTTGGGCCTGTCACTTTCCAAAGGAGGAGAATACTAGGATTGTCTGTTTCCATGAGTTGACTAGAGAGCCCACATACACATGGAATTTTGAACCTAGTGCCTTTCCCTTTGGGCTGTATCTCTGATCCTTGCAGGTTAAACATGCATTAACCACGGCAAGGATCTTAGTTCTCTAAATCTGAGTAATTTGGATTGGAACAAACTTTATTTTACTTTTAATATTGTGACTCCAGCCTCAATGTTCCTTTCTGGGTTTTAGTTTAATGACAGCTTAATTTTAATCCTTTACACTTTCAATTCTTTAAAATCTCATGAAGAGATTATAAAAGTAACCAATAATGGTTTCTCTTGTTGAAAGGAAATAAAAGACATATAAATAACCAAAAAGTATACAGTATGTGAATGGTTTTTAATTATATGTGAGAACTAAATACTGTATTCAGTTAAATCTTTGCAACTGCATGTGTCTGGTTTGCTTCTGACACCCAGAAAAGACACCCCCTGTGCAGAATGGGAGTTTTCCCAAGTTTACTTTGGCTCTATCCTCATTATTTTCTTCCTCTGTCTATGTCAGAAGTGCCTGCATCTGAGATGTTATGCAGCTATCTACTAACTTGTCAGAAGATGTGCTTCTGATAACACTTTGGAAGTCTGTGGATGTGTTTTGTTCTCAGTGTGAAATAAAATATGAAAGAGACAATTTAAAACATTGCTACTCTTTTGGGTTTGGTATTTAAATGCATACATAAATTCTAGCATGCCCACATACACATATTTGAACACAGAATTAATAGCTTCAACTTGGAAATCTTTTTTTTTTTTTTTCAGGCCATGCCATAAATTCAACAACAGAGTTGGCATTCAGGAAAAAACCCCAAACTAACCAAACAAAACACAAGTGCATATTTATTTAAATTAAAACACAGGCTCATGACCATTACATCTGTGCATCTGTGTTTTTTGGATTCCAGCTGAGTGTCATGGAGCCCTTTCCACTTGATGGCTAAAAAAAAATCTGAATTTGTTTTCAGACTCATCATGTGATTCCTTTTTCCAGATCATGTGCTACAAAAGGACAGAATGTTTTATTATTTTTCCTTATGATAACATAATACATTTTACTGTAAGCCATATTGCATAGCAAAAACTTTAAGAAGGTGTTCAACTTTTATCATTGCCATGAAATTTGATTCTATAGATTATTGATCAGGACAAACCATTGACTTGAAAATTGTGTTTTAAAAAATTTTACTTTGAGATTTCATTATAATAATCTTGAGGCTTTGATCTGCATCTGTTTTAGGTGAGAAAAGAATACATCAAAATAGAGAATAAAACAAGGTCAAAGAGCAAATAGAAGCAGAATAATCTAAGAATCATAGACCTGAAAATTTTATTTGAGGTCATGTTTGGTCAAGACCCTTTACATTGTAGATGAGGAAAATGAAGACTGCAGATGCTAAGTGATGGCCAAGGTCACACATCAAGTTAATAGCAAAGCCAAAATTATCCCAGAGGTCTCATGACACTCTCCTCCCGCCCTTTCTACCCAAACTACTGATTATAACTGGACTGGATTGTGAAATCTCTGCACATCTAATTGCTCTTGAGATTTAATGTGGCAAAAGACATTCATTGGAATCCTAACTTTGACAGGTCATCTATGATTTTTAAAATATATGTATTCCAGGACTTTGCCTCCCAGAATTCTTACCCTTTACCATCCAAGAGTAGAATAAAAATATGGGACTTGAATTAACTTCTTAAAAAGAATCCTGTTTGAACTTTTCATTTTTATTGACCAGTCAGTGTTTAATGTTTGCCTTTCTTTTGTGGGCCTTGTCTTCAGGGAAATTCCTTTTGAAATTACTAGGGGATGGCTAAAAAAAAAAAGTAGTCAGAGGTCACCATTCTATTTAAAAATGATTTAATATTTTTACCTGAGCACTTTTAGTCAAGATGGTAACCTGACTTAATGTTATCTGACTAGTTTCAAAGATAGAATTATATGTGAAGGCCACAAGTTGAAATTATATTTTGTATGGACGCAAGTCTAGAAAACATGAAACAGTTATCAAGTGGTTTGCTTCAGTTGTCTTATTATCATGAGTCTCATTCTTAATAGAAGTATTTAAACTTTTATAAACACTCTTACTTTTTAACATTAGTTCATCTTTTATTCAAATATTTGACATGAAAAATTTTAACTATCTGAATTCTTTTGAAGTCACTATACCTGTTTCACAATTTTCTTTTTTCTTAAATATTGAAAAGATTGGATCAGTTATATAATAGATGTGTTTTGTTTTTAACTTTTATGATCTAAATGAGACAAAAACAACAGCGATAGGGATAGACTAATTAATTGAATTTGCTATGCTGTATTTTTGCCTTTCATTTTGGTTGGCATGTCCCTCTCCCCTATGATTTTTAATTTATGAAGTGAATACATATTTGAGGGGTCTAAATTGTTCTCTTTTGTTTGGTAAATAAGTTTATATTTAATACATTTAAATTCTTATACTTGACAATAGTGTTCAAAAATAGAAATATATAAAAATTCAAATATAAGTTGTCATGGAAACCTGTTGTGGAGAAAATAAGATCAGGAAAAACAAGAGAGGTTATTTTGTTGATGCTAGTGAGTGATAGTTGCAAACAGTGAAAAACAGGGATGCAGAAATGTGTATGTAGAAATGTAATGCACTGTATATTTTCAATTCAACATGTAATTGTTAGGGAAAAAATGAAGCTTGTATGTGCTTTCCTTTGAAGAATGTATCATAAATAAGAGGACAGTCACAAGGCAGACACTCCTTGATAGAGTTTCCAGATTTTTAGAAGTTTTTAAAAATCACATAAGGACAAAATACGAAAATAGACAATTTTGAAGAATCTGTTTGCAATATTAAACAGCTGAGAGCAGTTATAAGTTTCTCTTTCTGTTCTTTCACTTATATCTTTATAGGTTAAGAGAGATGATTAAATTCAGCTCTGTTTTAGAGTGTTGGCTCTTCTTGGTGATTTATGCATATCTTTGATTACCAGGTAGATCTTTTGTTTTTTACTTTTAAAGCACATTTTAGAAAAGAAAATACAAAATAATAACTGTCATGGAACTCCACTTAAGATGTTGGCTTTTTGGTGTGTGTCTAGATTTTTCACATACATTCCCCCGAGCTTTAGCTCATTTACCGTTATTCAGATACGATAAATGAGATGCATTGTATGTCATATATAATCCTTCTCAATCATATATGGATTGTGATAGTGAATCTATCATTTTTTTAAATCTTAAAAATATTCACTTTATTAGCATTATAGATTATTTCCACAGCATTACTAAAAATACTACTTAGAAGCTATTAAAATTGAAATTTTAATTTCTAGCGTTAGAATCAAATTTGCAAATATTTAATTTACTTTGTATGGGCCACTCTTTTCTCCTCCTCAAATCACAAAACAAAACAAGAAATAAATAATCTAAATAAATATTTGCTGGTATTAAATGTAGCAGTTTATTTTTAAAAATTATAATAAGGTATAGAAAGATTTTGAATCATATATTAAGATTAAAGGAAGAAAATATATTAATTCTTGTTTTGCAAACGTGGTTCTAATTAAAAGAATTAATGATTAAATATAGCTATTCATAAAATATTGCTGTCAATTATTAAAATTTTAGAAAGCTCATTTATCTAATGAATATTGATTATGCTGTCACTGTAGACTGGAAACTATGAAAAGTACTCGGAATGCATGAAGAAGATATAGTTCTTTGCCCTCAAAGAGCTCACCTCTCTATTTATAATAAAACTTTTCCTAAAGGCATTATATATTAAATTACAAAAATAAGATTATAGCAAGCAAAATTCTAGAGGTGTTAAAAATGAATTCCCCCCCCAAAAATAAACCTCACATAGGAATATTGCCTGACATATGAAATAAAATGTTCCTTTTAGATATTATTATTATTAATTATTAAGATATTATTAATATTATTTTATTACAAAATATTAGGCCTTTTATTCTTTATTTTTCTGTTTTCACAATGACTTACAGGCTCTCTCCCTACAATATAATGAAGACCATACTTATACCCAACAACAATTTGAACTATTTGTGGGTATGGCCAAGTTTCTTCATTATTTCCATTTAATTACAAGTCATAGCCAACCACAACTTGGCCAACATGGGCCAACCCAAACTTCATATTCCTCGAAAGAATCTGCTATAATAGTCTAGTGTGTTTGCCTTGCCATCTAAGGATTTAAGTGTCTTTTAACATATTCAGGGTCACTAGTTAAAAGGCTTATAAATACATTTAATTTTATGCTTATATTCTGAGCATTGGATAGAATCAGAGAGTTCCTGATTTAACAGATTACTGAAAGAACCAAGTAAATTTAGTTGCCA